ACTGACTGACTGAGAAGCTCAATCTTTTAAAAGGTGACAAGCACAAAAAAGCGACAAGGTCCATGGGGCTTGAAACTAAAAGAGTGAAGCGATGTACACAATATACAAAAAACCATAAATACCAAATATTCATGAAGTTTGTACTAGAATAATTTTGTAATTAAGTACTAACTAAATTCAACATCCAATATACAATAATGCCGATATTAAGCCAATTCCTTAAAGTTGAGACTCAATGAACCGATGACACATCATTATTTGAAGCCCACACTTCTTAGAGTGTTATAAATGACTTTTATTAACACTGGTTTGGCTTTTGGAAAAGAAGACCGAAAAGCTCCCACTATAATGAGATAGTAAGGGCATTTAAGGGAAAGAAAAAATAGGAAACTGATTTGCTTAGAGACTAAGTTGCGTGGACTCTCCAAAATGCCCCACCCGTGTCAGATCCTCCAAAAATGAGCTGCTTTTGGAGGATCCGACACGCACCTCTTGATATTTTTGGAGAGTCCGAGCAACATAACTTAGAGAAGCCTTTACTTTGCGAAGTGTATTGAAAATATGCATGTATATATTTTTAGGATGCTCTTCTACTCAACATTGTATGTTGATTGTTCATTGCAATATTTGCAGAAATCCCACATATTGTTAAAATATTCTACCTGATTGCCTATAATTTGACCAAGGAGCAAATCAATCAAATAATAGGACAAGAAATACCTCCTTTTGGAGATTCTATACGGTTATAAGTGCTTCTGATGTTTGCGTCATTCTTTGAGAACACCGTTGTCTGGATCTCTCTTTGAGAAACCTGGCCAGGAAACAAGAATTAAAATGCTAATTTTTCCTGCGCAAGTCTTAATTTTTCTCATATTCCAGGAATGGCCACTTCATTCTTCACTCTTCCAAGAATATTATATCATCATTAGTGGTTGTTGAGTGTGAAGAAGCCCTAAACCAGAGAAGTATGTCAGCAGCTGACGCTTTTATTAGCTTGAGAAGCAAAAGCATTTTACATTTGTTTGCGTGCATTGGGAGGTTCTTAGGTCTTGAGGTATGAACGGATCTTTTCTCCTTTTTCCTTGTCTTTTGGCTATTAGATTATTCTGTTTATCCATTTGGAGAGCGAAGGCTTCTTATTTTAGATGCTTTACTGGTTGTTATATTCAGTATTCCTTTGTCTTGTATTTTTATGCAGTTGGTTTCCTTTAACATTCAGGATTAGTATTAACTTCATTTAGGTTGTCCTTAAGCATTAGTTGCGTGGACGTGTAGTTATTGTTACACTTTATTAGTAAGATTATCGATATAAAATTTTTTTATTAATAAGATTACATCAACTGCTAGGTTCACCCTTGGGCCTTGGGTACATTGTTCACATCTTATCTCTGAATGTCAGTGTCGAGAAGATCACCATGCTCTCTCATTTTTCCAGAACAAATATGTGCACCAAAGGTGTAATGGTGGGCCTCCCTCATATATTTATGAACACCATATTCTTTTTTCCTCCCAGTCTGTTAGATCCTTCTTTTAGACTCGTACTGCCTTGACTTTGATGAAATTGTCTCCGGCCAAGGAGACCTTCACACCAACTGTGATATTCTAAACCTTCTCCGTGCTTCTCACTATTGTCTCTGATTATCCGACCAGATGGTCAAACCTCCCTACTAAAAATATATTTAAAAATTTCTCTCCTCTTTCCACTTCCTCGTGTTAATCTGAGAGAGGAAGCCAGTTTGCCTTGACATGGCTTTACTTCTCCCATAGCTTGATTATGAATTGCCATTTTATCAGGAATATTGTACTTTCTAGAGCATTTTGTTTGATCTTCTTATCTTGTCGCATATGTAATTAAGATGCATTGGCTGGATCAAAATTTTGGTGTCTGCATTTAGGAGTTCAATTAGAAATCATTTAGCTTCTTTACTGGTTATTTGATGAGTTTTTTTAATGATTATCTGATATATATCCACAGGTCTTTGAACATGGGTCTGCAGCAGTTAAGGTGCCAAAGAGCATTTCTTGTGGTATAAATTTGTTGCTTATGGGTTTTCCTGAATGTGGAAGCTCATACTTTTTGCTGATGGAACTTGACAAAGATTTCAAACCTGTGTTCAAATTGCTAGAAAGTCAGTCAGATACACCAGAAAAAGCTCAATCTCTTGTTGATCTGAGCAACGTGGTTCGTGTAAAAACTGTTGACATCGGTAGGATGCAGATATGTGAGGACGAGCTCAATTTGAGTCTTCTCAACAGCAAGAAACTGCTATCAATTTTACCTAGTGATGGTGGCAGTCACCAAACATCTGAAAATAGTCTTCTTGCTGATTTCAGCTTGGAAGGATCTATAGTTTCTTCCAGTGCGCCATCAACATTTTGTTCTATTGTTGATGAAATATTCGAACTTGAGAAAGGGTCCTCTGTCCCTTCTTTCTCCGGTCAAATTCCCCCGTCAACATTTGGTGCTTCTCCTGCATCTCATTTGGGCTCTGGTGTTGCAAATTATCAGTGTCTTAAAGTTGGAACACTGTCCCCTAAGTGGGATCGGGGAACAGGAAACTACAGTAGCTCCATGTACAAGGGCGTGATACAGTCAGGTTCGGCTGGTTCATTAGCCACGGCTCCAGGAAGGAGTCAAACTGTGAAAAAGTTGACAGCTTCAAAGTCTGAGCAAGATTTGACTTCTCTCAGATCACCTCATTCTGCAGGAGCTGGATCTTATACGTCATTGGATGAAGACCAGCTGACTGTATCTACAAACCGATCAGCTCGACTTCTATCTCCACCACAACGAGCTTGCCCCCCAGCTTCTGCATTAAGTGGAAAAGCTAGTGCTCCAAGAAACTCCGCTGCGGGAACTGTACCGGTTGGTTTCAGGACTTCTGAGTCTAACTCATTGGTTTTAAGTCCTGGATGTAAGTCAAATAACCTCTGAGATTGTTGTTTATATATATTTACACCATTGTGTATGTTACATCTATCTGTTATAGCTCTTACCATCCATTTTTTTAAATGCTCAGTGGGCATGTTTATTTTTGATGCACGTGTCTCAAAATTGCATTTCCTTTTTTTTGCCAGCCCAAGCAATAGATTCAGCAACATGTCCCCAGTCAGAGCAAGATGCAGCTTCCAGATATAACATTTTACCAAGGAAGCGTACATTGTCAGATTTGTTGGATTCACTTCCATCACTTCAAGCAATGGAGTCCAATGAAGGATCATATAAGCGAAGGAAACTTGTGGAGTCTGCTGGCACTCATTTACCTAAGTCACTGATGCTTATTTCTTCAGATATTTCTGGTAAAGCTGAAGAGTATAGCTATGGCAGTCTTATCGCTGAAGCTAATAAAGGGAATGCACCTTCTAGTATATATGTTTCTTCCCTTCTGCATGTAGTCAGGCATTGCTCACTTTGTATCAAACATGCCCGGCTTACGAGTCAGATGGAGGCACTTGAAATCCCATATGTCGAAGAAGTGGGTCTTAGAAGTGCATCCTCAAACTTATGGTTCCGAGTTCCATTTGCCAGAGATGATGCATGGCAGCATATATGCTTGCGGCTAGGTANCCCAGGAGCTGAATGGAATTGATTCTAACTTTACTGGTTCTCAACAAGCAGTTGGATTGACTAACTCAAATAGTTTAAATGCTGGTTCACAACTTCCAGCTGCAAATACGAACAGGACTAATCTCTCTAATTCTACTGGATTAGTTCGTCCAGCAAATGCTGTAACTGGTTTCAACCGTACTGCAAATGGCCTACCCGCAGCATCGAACTTAGCAGTGGTGAATGCAGGGATGCCTTTGCGCAGACCACCTGGTACTGGTGTACCTGCTCATGTCAGAGGAGAACTAAATACTGCAATTATTGGCCTTGGCGATGATGGAGGGTATGGTGGTGGATGGGTTCCTCTTGTTGCTCTCAAGAAGGTTCTCAGAGGCATTCTAAAATACCTTGGGGTGCTGTGGCTCTTTGCTCAGTTACCGGACCTTCTGAAGGAGATTTTGGGATCAATTCTGAAGGATAATGAAGGTGCATTGTTGAATTTGGATCAGGAGCAGCCAGCCTTACGCTTTTTTGTGGGGTAAGGTTCCAATCATTCTGTATTGTCTTTAATCCCTGTCCAATTCTCCTGCTGACTGCTTAGTAGTGTAGAAAACTTGGGAATGGAAGAGAACCTTAAAACTTGGGAATGGGAAAGGACCTCCAGAATCTCAATCCTCACATGTCCTCTAAATTGGATGTAAATGTGGCAATGGAAGAGAACCTCCAAACTATAAGTTCTCACACTTATCCTCTAAATTGGACGAGTGTTGAATTTTCACTATATGAACCTCCAAACCTTTCTGAAGTTGTGCTTGTCATTTTTGCGTTCTCCTTGTTTTCCCCTGCCTTAGCTGGGGTTTTGATTTCTCGCTTCTGCTAGAATTGTTTTGCATGCATTCATTGTCATTCAAATAATGATACTTAGCTTTCATTGTTTTACTAATTTTATGTTGTCTATAATAGATGTCACTTATGTTGCATAGGAGAAACATTCTTGGCTTGTGCAGTGTCTTATACGCTGGAAACAATCTAGGGGTATTAATATTTCTTCAAGGTTGTGAGAAATATGGGGGGTTATTGGACATAGAGCTCTACATTCTTGTAATTTTTCACTTGCAAGTTTAGTTGGAGCGTGTTAGTAGAGGTCAAGAAATGATTCTATAACCCCGGGATAAATATCCGAATCTTTTGCAGGTTTGTTTTTATTGTGGCTTCATGCTCTTTCTAATGTTATATTTAGGAGTCAGTCGAGTTTACTGTAAAAGAAGAGTATGATACCGTGTTTCTTTTTGGTTTTTGTGCTCTTGGCTTTTCCATTTAGAACCATATGCCCTGGCCGAACTCCGTCTAGCCCCAGTTTATAATTTCTCACCTGAGAGTTTTGTCCATTTTAGTTTCACATAATTTCTTTTAGTATACTCTATTTGATGTACAACCTGATCTGCTTAGTATCTAAACAAACTAACCTGTTAACACTTTTTATCTGTTGGCTAGAAAGCTTGGTGCTTTTTAAATGAATAATCCGAATAATTATATCCCATCTTTTTTTTGCTGGTGAACTTTTATGTGTAGAAAACTCACTGCTGCTTCAATATATTCTACTGACAATCGCTTGGGTGTTAGCTAGTTTATATGGTTGTTTTGAGCATGTATTATTTTTGTGACCTTGAGTTCCTATACTGAAAGGAGTTGTTGCCACAGGGGCTACGTATTTGCTGTTAGTGTTCACAGGGTTCAGCTTCTCCTGCAAGTTATTAGTGTCAAGAGGTTTCATCAGTCGCAACAGCAGCAGCAGCAAAATCCCGGAAGTGCCCAAGAGGAATTAACACAAGCCGAAATAGGAGAAATATGTGATTACTTCAGCCGTCGTGTTGCATCAGAGCCATATGACGCTTCTCGTGTTGCATCATTCATTACACTTTTGACGTTACCTATTTCAGTTTTGAGAGAATTCCTGAAACTCATTGCATGGAAGAAAGGGTTGTCTCAAGTGCAAGGGGGTGATATGGTCCCTACACAAAAATCCCGTATTGAATTGTGTCTTGAGAATCATGCTGGATGTAGTATTGATGGTAGCTCAGAAAATACATCTGCTTCCAAAAGCAACATTCACTATGATCGNGGGGGGGGGGGGGGGTGTGTGGAACAACATGCATAAAATTTTGTAACATTTTTCCTATTGTGGTATTGCTCTGGAGCGCATAATGAGGCAATACCAACACTGGAAGCCAACGTAGTGTTTCTCTACTGTAATAGAACAATTACACATTTATAGACTCTTCTTTTTCCCTTATGGTACGGAATTCATACTCACAGTTGTAATTAGTTTGGAGTTGAGGGGTAGTAGTTTTAGTTTAATTGTAGAAAAGATAATTTATTTGGTAGGCTTTATTTATAGAGTTGGGTGGATGAAAAAATTGAGTTTGCTGGTTCATGTGTGGTGTAAAAGCAGTTAGAGAAGGATTGGCTATGTACTGTCTGCATGATGTAAAAGTGTTACTGTCTCTGCTAAATTGAGGAGATGAACCTTTAAAGTGAGAAAAACAATGGTGGTGTATTTTTAACACAGTACTGGAGTTTTTTGTCTCTATTTTCTTTCAAATTATTCAAGAACTGGAGTTTTTTGTTTCTATTTTCTTTCAAATTATTTTATCACACAGGGTAAGTATCTAAAGATGAAATGACGCAATGTTTTTGATTACCAAATTTAAATACTGAACGTATTCAAAAGTTAAAGTAGTGTGCACTAACATTAAGAAGTTCTAGAAAATTAATATGAAACGTCGATATAAATTCCTAACATGCTTTAACAACTAAAGGAAGAAGTGATCTAAATATTAAGCTGGTTCTCTAGAAGAAAAAAAGGTCATTAAAATGTTGAATAGGACCATGGAAGAGTTTGGACTTCAATACAGGGCACAGAGGTATAGACAACTTAAAAGTGTATTTGGGTTATAAAGCATCATAAGGATTATTGCTAATCGGTCTTTTGCCTTGTATCAAGAGAAGTTATAGTTACAGATTCTACCTAGTTGAATTAATTAGTTCAACAATGAAAAAGGAAATGTGGGAAAATGTAACAAAATTAAAATGTAGTTCCGGTTGTTGATGAAGAACTGGAGCTAAGGCATGGCTAAGTTACCTAGTTATATAATCTTAAGCTGTCAATGACGGAACCCTGGTATGTAAATCAAACACAACGCCTCAAACATTACTGAGTCAAATACAATAAATGACTGTTGTAGGAACCAAAAAACTAGCAACTATAGCCGGAGGCAAACTTCATTTGTGGTTTTATGAGCTCTCCTTCGTGCTTGAGACTGTAGCATCTTGCTTCTCTTCTTGACTAGCCTCTATGGCCTTCTCCACTGGGGGCTCAGCAGAGGCTACTGGCTCCTTTTTTAACTCGGTTTCAAATTCCTTTGCCGCCTGTATTATGAGATATGTTAGAAATTATGCAAAGAATCTCCCCTCTTCCCACTAAAGGGAGAAAAAAGAAAATATTTCCACAGAATAAGAATCAAGAAGAGAAGAAGTTCCAGGGCAACCCTGACAAAATTGGAGCTACTATCTTTCCATTATCTATAGCCTAAAAAAAATTGAACCAAAAGTAAGATGATAAAAAGAGTATTCAAATTATTCTGATATAACACAGAAGTGCTAACCTACTTATGTAGAGTCAATAAAGATATCTTCCTACTCCAATGGGACGATACAGAGATGTAGGATGTGAGCATCTCTATTTCATACAAGTCTTTAACAATTATCTCAGCACTTAGCAGGAGAAGTCTTCTGGAACTACAGATTGGCGCGTAAGCAATTTACCATTTTCTTGTCATTTGAAGAGATTGAATGTGGTTTTTATTTGTTGGCCTTGATGCACCCTCATTGAACGGGAGTGATATGTCTGTGTACTCTGAGCAGATTCTTCGAAAATGCATTAAGAATCAGCAATAAGATGCAACATCCACCTTATTTAGATACATGTCGCTTCTATTAGTCATAGAGGCATTTGTCCCAAGCCTTGTCATTTTTTGTTAAGACCTGCTTTTTCTTGAGTTGGGCCCTTCTCCAAGGCGGAGGTTATGTAAGAATTCTGTCAGTATTCAAGAATGCGGTTTTCCATGCACATAATGTGCAGAGATTTCACCAGACAATAAATTCTTTCGCCAAAACCCCACTAGAAATACATGACATCTGAAGCCAAGCAAAAATATGTGCACCAGACCTATTCCTTGGACAATTTTAACTGCTCCTACACTCTACCCCACCACAATAGCTCACGGAACATTCCCATGATTTTCCTCGATTTTCATGACGTATTTCATTGACAGCATCTTATAGCTAAAAATCTTAAGCGTGATGGAAGTCCAGCACATTATATAGACACCAATTCATTACCAATATATTTGCACTATCAATTAGGATCAATATCTTCTAATTATGATAAAAGATTTTCAACTCTGAATTATGCCGAAACTAAAACTTTGACAAGAGCTTGTAAGTAATAATAATATGCACTTGAAAAAACCAAATGAAGTGCCAAACTTATCTCACAATCAAAAGGCATTTTGATTGCCCTCAATGAACTTGGAAAAACTACGTGCATCTTAGCCTGATGATTAAAGTAACTTCTAGAGGTCTTCCTGTGAGATTCCAGGTGCACTAACATCATTATGTTTATCTATATGCTCTTTTTCTGGTTTTACAACTCTCATCCTAAAGGTTGAGGTTTGCTTTGTAAGCTTATAGCCATCTGATAGCTCGTTTTCCTTTCTCTTGCACATGCATAACATTTGAATTTGTATTGATTCCAACATAAAGTGCCTCCTTTTCCAGCTTGGTCAGTAGAACCAAATGCAGGATTAATGACTATGCCATATAAAGCAATTTCTAGAGTCATAAGAGTTTATCTTATGAAGTATAGTCCTCTCTCACAAGCAAAATGACAGTGGAAAAGGAGAGAAGTCATTTTCTCCCTCTGTTGGAAGAACAAAAGAAATCAAAAAGTCCAAACATCCACTCCCTCCGTCGCAATTTATGTGGCACTCTTTCCTTTTTACTCAGTTCCAACAAGAATGTCATCTTTCCTTATCTAGAAATATTTAGCTTTAGAAATCCTACTTTACCCTTAATGAATTGATTTACAGCCACACAAATCTATGGTTTGTTTTAGACCACAACTTTCAAAAGTCTCATTTCTTTCTTAAACTCCGCACCTAGTCAAACACCGCCAAATTGGGAAGGAGGGAGTATTACAACCAGCACAAGTGGCTGTATTTCAATTTCTTCTTCCTAGCAATGGCATTCTTACAAAGAACTTGTTCAGCTACTTACGAAATCTCAAATCTATACCCACAACAAGAGCTATTCATGTGTCTAGGTCGATCAGAGGTTCCAATTCCTTTGCTCCACCTTTTAGCCTTCGCTAGTTTCACCCACAAGCGACTAAACTCATTTCCAAATTCAAAACTTGAAACATACGAATCTGACCCAAAAACTATCAAACACATTTAAATATACCAAAATATCCTCTATCCAATAATTATTCCATTTTCAAATCCCAAAAGTAAAAGAAAAAACTTGATCTTTGACCAAAACGTGTATTGGAATACCACCATCCTAAAACCTAAAAGGTTCAAGTTTTCGTTAAGTTATTAAATCTCAAAATTTTATTTCCGGTAGCTGAATTATCTATTTGGGATTGGGACACAGCTGAATAATGATAGCTAATTCAAGTACTAAAGTTATATACATAGGCAGTGTAAATTTTACCTATTACAGCAAGTTACTTACCATTTTTATCAGATTGCTAATTACTAATTTCTGCTAATCACAGAATGTTACATGTAATTAACTAATAAATGACCTGATTTTGCAAAATATTTCTTGATTTAATCATCTATCCAATAAAAGGACTAAAATTTGGGACAGAAAATGTAACCTGTTGAAAACTCTTGACAGTCTTGCCAATAGTGCGGCCAACTTCAGGCAACTGTTTGGGACCAAAAACAAGGGCAGCAACACCAGCAATCACCACCAGCTCAGGGACTCCGAGCCCAAATAAGCAGTTACAAGAAAGACCCTTTTTGCCACTGCTCCTTACTTTTCTAGCTGGACCCACAAACAGTGACCTGTTGCTGTTGAAGAAGAGTGAGCTAGAGGAACATAAAGTTGGAATCTTGGCCGTTGAAACACACAAAGAAGAAGATGAGGAAATGGGTTTTGCTGTAAGGGATAGAGAAAGAGTTGTAGCAGCAGCAGCAGAAACTGAAAGGAGTGCCATTTTCTGAATCTTGAAAGTTTTTTTTTTTTTTTTTTGATGCTAAAACTGCAGGTTTTGTTCAAGAAATGTGATGGAGTCTTGCAGCAAGCTGGGGAGATAATTTTGTATGTGGGGTATGGCTTATGCTGACCTTGTGGGTGTTATTATTAATGAGTTTCTATACAAGACTTTAATATCTCCAGTAAAGGAAAACGTGCCCTAGGAACAATATATTGGTAGGTGGGGTTTAGAAATTCTTGATTTTCTAGTTTGGATACACTGATGCATAGTCTAGGCTGAAATTTTTTATGTACATTTAATCTAGTCGATTTGGATAAGACCTACAATTTGTTTACGTTAAGCAACGGTGTTAAAGAGTAAAGTATCATATTACTTGGACTATTTTATATGGCTCTCTTATCCCCAATGTTACTAGTTCCCTTCATCTATTTTCCTGTATATGTTTATCCTCTGTTTTTATCATAGTGGAAGTTGCTTTGTAGAGATCCTTGTACTAATAAAAAGAGTATTTTTATGTTTTTTAATAGTATTAATAGGCGAAATGAATGAAAAATAAAGAAGAAATTATATTTTTATGGAGTGAAATGATTATTAATCTTCTCCTTTTCCCCATCTTCCCATTTTTGTCTTCGACGGGATGGGTTGCCTGTAAATTAAATAAATAGAAAAAAAGAAATTGCTAAATAGATAAAGCTCAAGAGAGTGTGCATTTGTCTATGCAAATTTCTTAAATTATTAAAAAGAAAATTTCTCTCATAATCTTACCAAATTTGAATAAAAAACAGAATATATATTTGAATATCTAATTGTCAACTGTGCTTGGCGATCATTTTTCGCTTTGTTTCTCAATAGCTTAGTCGCACTAATCCAGA